TTTGTGCAAACTTCCATCGTTTAGTTTAGTTGTTGACATCGGAACCGTTTGAAAAGTGATGGAACTCGATGCCAAACATTGCCCTGTGTCTCTGTCTGCGTCAGTATGAGATCATCAAGTCCTATTGTTTGTCCTGAAATTCCCTTGCGTCACAGAGATAACTCTTCGTATTTTGCGATCTCTCGCTCCACGTCCCTCACTTAATAATAATCGTCCTACTTCCGTTGCAATGCACTCAAATTGTAGGGTGCACCGGGGTAATAATGGATATAATTTTGTCATTAATGGATATTTGGCAGATTCAAATTTCGATTGGATGTAGAAGATATAGTTAAGCACAAACCGAATTTATTACTATGGTGCAGTGCTGATGTTAGATACATGATCCAAAATCCTTATAAAATGCCAAGAAAATATTGCCTGCTTCTATTTTATGTAAACAAGTATAAATTATCACTGTTACTTGATTGCTTCTATTCTATGTAAACAAGTATAAATTATCACTGTTACTTCAAATTTCTGCTCAGTCAATATTTGATTTTGAGTAGCACCCTATTGAGGCATTTATGAGAAAATTGAAAGTTGTAATTAAGAAGTTGTATTTGTGTTCATAATTTTATATATTTACCTTTGAGTTACTCAACTTAATGAATCCGACAGGTACTTTGTCCTTGTATACTAACATTAAATTAGAGTATATCAGTTCTCAGTATTCCATGAAATACAACATCATTGCCTATGTCTATAGTGAAATATATAATTTAGTAATTCAAGAGCATTAGAAAACTTATTTGATAAGTATTTTATACAGAGATTTGCATTTTCCCGAAGGAGAAGTGTATCAATTCCAAAAAATCCGATTTGCTAGAATGTTGTCAATGTTTTAAATCATTCTGAATCGTTTGAGATCAAAATTGGTATCTGTTTGAAGCAAAAGTATGACATTTGGTCAATGTTTTTTCAAATGTTGTAGAACCGATTTCAACAATTTAAAATTTATATTTATTTATTATTTATAGCAGCTTATCAAAATTAGTAAACTAGTGCAAAATCCTAAACCGAACTAGATTTTGTTTCGAAAATTATCAGTTGGGACTCATAATGATTTGTTTCTGCTTCGGATGTTTCTTAATAATTAAATGTTCAAATTTTTTTTGTATGATGATGGAGTTCTGTTAATATTCTTAACGAACATTCTGAAATATTGCGAACCCGCGAAAAGTGGTATAATTATAAAAAATCGTTATAATTTGAAATAATAGGTCCGTGTAGAAAAATTTCATCATCACAATTTGGAAAGTTGCTGAATCCATATTCTTATTGATTAGGTACTTACACAAATCGGGAAGTTTGTGTAATATATCTTAAGAGAAAATGCCACGTATACCTAGTTCCATTTATATACCCTTGTATTATTAAACTTAATGGATCTGACAGGTACTTGTCCTCAGTATGCTATTAAATTAAGGTCCATCTATTACACGATCTACTCTCAAGAATGTCATGAAAGTGGACATCATTATTATATTATCTACTAAAATTTAGATAACTATGATATCAGATCCTTTGGGGTTCAGTTGACAAATACGTAATAACTAGATAATTTTTGCAGACAATGTATTATATATGTTGTTTTCCTTATCCTACTTGGAAAACTTCCATTGGATCTAAGCCAAATCTTATCCATCAGTTTTTAACATGTCTCCTTTCTTTGACATTGAACAAAAAGCTTTAACTTTCGCCAAAATAAAGCTGACATATTTTCTTTTTTCTTTCAATTTATTTAGTGTAGGTATATTTATTTAACACAAATATTAAATAATAATGTAAAATAGAACAGAAGCCTAAGTAATTATTGTATTATCTATTAATGGTATTATTCATAATGATTTATTTAGAATTGAAATATAATTATATGACAAGTGAGTTCGAAATGCATTTAAAAAATATTTCATTTATATCTGCATGAAATTTTGAAAGATTAAAATTAATTTTACTCTGTTTCTGCATGTGACTACTGAACTGGCAAGTTTTAATGACTGTGCGTTTTTTTCATCAGATCGTCGATAGCATGAGTTTAATTAACGTCTGCATATGATGGGAAACTTTTTTATAAACGTTTAAAACTGTTTTTTATGGCAATGGAAATCGTGAAATTCAAATTGAAAATGGAACTGTGGATGCCATTGCGTATAAATGTTCTATTTGCCATTCAAAAACATTGTCACAAAAAAATAATATTGTTTCGGAAAACAACTGATGGATTTGCGTCATATTCTGAATATCTACGTATGGAATTGGATTCTCTTTTGTGGATAAAATTTTTTGTATATGAATTTTTATGAATGTTGTTTTCTGAAAATTGCAGAAATTAATCCAGGCTTGTAGTAATCGCTTAGAAAAACTTGCAATATTTTTTGCCACTGCTGCTTTTTCAAGTTTTTACTAATGCAAGTTAAATTATTATTTCGTATGTGATTTGATTAAAAACAATATAATATGAATATATATTTTTTTCCATAATTCATTATCGTTCTTAGGTAAATATTTTTGATAACTTGCTGATAGTTGATCCGTTAGTTATGAAGTACATGTAACAACAAATATCAATTTTATGATATTATGTTCTTGTATGAGCTGTTTATTTTACTTTACTTTGTTTTACTTTGAACTTATATTATCTTGGCAAAAGGCCACAAATTCTAATGTGATATTAATAATAAATCTTGATTTTCTATGAATTAGTCAGAATTTTCATTTAAAACCAATATGTCTGATTCGGATAAAAATTACATTAATCAATTAATTCTTCAAACTCCTTAAATAAATAATTTTCAGAGTTTATAAACTCTGTGTATAAATAATCCTCATTCTTTATCCATTTGGAGCCCTGAATGGAATCCTGTCTTCTGATTTTGGGACTGAAGAAATTCTTTTCAGGTTTTTTTTCATGATGACATTGTACTACAAAAATTATTGTAATATTTTTATCAATATATTTTAGAACTTGAAAAAGCTCATTGATCTACCTTAGATCGTTGTATACTTGAGGTTTAATTAAAGTTTTTTTTATTATTATTAGTATTACATATCTGTATATGAATATTATGTAAGTTATGAGGATTCCAAATATTTTTATAATACAAAAGTTTTTCTGTTTACCAGATCTAGTAATAATGAACTTCATTCGTTCTCTTTGAGATCAAAAGACTATGGGATTTGAACAAAGCTACCCAATATGCAGAATACACATATTTAATATTACAGACAATCAAACACATAAACTGCTTTGCCTAGATTTATTAATATTTGGAAAGCTAATAAACGTATGAGCATTAAACTCCAATGAACTTCAAAAGGAACTAAAATTTATCATGTGTTTAATTAAATACTATATATTGCGGTGTAAGTTTTAATTAATGACTATTTAACACAAATAATCAGAAGTTTTCGTGTTCAACCACAGAATACATTCATTAAAAGTTTTGTGCTAATAATGTTCGAAATATAAATGAATGGTAAATATAAATAAATGGTAATTATGAATAAATACTTCATTATGATGATGTGTTTTGATTGAACTATTGCGAATATTTAAATATGAACAACTGAGCTATTTACCTGAGATTAAATAGTTTTAAAAACAATGTGAGTTTTACCTATTTTGAATCGCGTTTTCTATTATTATTATTATTATTATATTTAGCATTCAAGCCTAATAAATCTAGAGTCCAATACTGAAGAACAAAATAATATTTTTTACAAACATTTTTCTCCTATCTAGGTCATTTAACTTCACTTTTCTATAGTCAAAGAAAATCCTGAACTTTACTTTAGCACTCTATTTTGAATATATTATTATTTCTAACGAAGAGATTCATCGAATATCTAGGACTATATACCAGTGCATTTGCATTTATATCTACTGCTTCCATTACAAGCACAATATGTTTCTGATTTTCTGAATTTAGTTTTTGATTTTATAGAAGCTGTTTATAATTGAATTTCTTAACACTGTTTGGATGGTTAAACCATTTTAAATTGCGTTAAGATCGACTTTCATGTGGGATCGTCCGCAAATCTAGTTTTACTTTGATCTCCTATTACTTCGACAAAGTGCTATAAATTCTCTAGAGCTTAAGTTTAAAGCTTGAAGTTCTCTGAAACCGCATATTGTAAAGAGGTTTGGAATCCATGAACCTGTTTATAAACTTTAATCATATTATTTAACTGCAAATTTATAATTTCGGTCAGACGTTTTTAAGACAGAATTAAACATGTTCGGATTTAAAATTCATACCAAGATCTGAAATTTGGAACCAGATCTAAAATTTAGACGTAAAGAGTTCCAGAAATTTGCCTTAAGAGGGTTGTTTGGTTTTAATTTATTTTTTTTTTATTTTGAGGATTTTTGATATCATGAAAGCTAAAAACCTTAGAATTATTTAAAAAAAAAATCATTTCAATATTTTTTTTGACGAAGTTATAGATATATATATATATATATATATATCTCTATAAGTATGATCTTTTGAAATTGTTTTATTCATCACTCCGCGAGCTATTGTATGCCAGCTGCTCTCTTTTTCATTATAATACCTTATGCTCATGACCTTTTTAATGTGTCGGCATCTCTGAACACCATGGTGTATTAAGTACATTAAATTAAATGGTATATTTAGTACATTATATTGAAAACTTTAATTACGTTTTTCCCAAATTGACTTTTTTCAATGCGGTGCCACAAATTAAAAAAAAAACTACAAGTCGGATCGACTTGCATTTTTTTTTAATTTGTTCACTTTTGCAATACCTAGTCCCTCTACCTTAAGCCACTTGATAACATTTCTAAAAAAAAACAAAAACAAACACCTTGCATTTTTTGTAAAAAACAACGAACAACACCCTTAAGGCTTACAACTTATTGTCATGCAACACTATTTTTTTCTAATAAATTAATAAATTTAATATGCTAACATATTGTGTTCTTTCTTTTCCAGAGTGTCTTATTCGATGAAATCGAGCTCGCAAACCTATGTGTGGCAGAATGCAGTACTAAAAACGTGAACCACAGTTTCCAAGTAAGAACTTTTTACCTATATTACATCCGTATCCGACTTTCTCTGTAAATTTCTCCTCATAAACGCGAACTAAAAGAAATACGTGTCGCGTTTTTATTTCCCTCATTGCAGATAATGGTGAAAATGACATATAAAGAATTTTTATGTTGGATACTTAAATGGAATGCGTTCGATGATAAAGTAAATGTTTACGGCCATTTATACCCCCTGGGATAATAAATAACTTTGTTTTGTGCTTTTGGTTTTTTATACTCGCTCTTGGACATCGCTTTTTTATCTTGGGAATGGTAAAAGTTGCATTAGCATAATAAATCATTTTTATTTTATACCCAACATGATAATCAGTCGTAATGTAGCATTAATTGTTCATATCACTATTTTTTTTTTAATTTAGATGTAAAAATTGGTTTAAATATACTTTCATACTTTCTAACGATGTAATTAACGAGTGATTTTATTTTTTATCGGATATTTGGTATTAAAATAAGATATAGGTATGCTAAATTAAATTATGAGCTTATATAACACAGAGTGTCCTAATATGATTTTTAATAAATATTATAAAATTAAGAATTAAAAATATTATCGCAATCAATTTTGATAATTGAACTAAGAAACCATAATTTTCAATTGGATTATTATCCAACATTATTTTATCAAATAATTAATTAATTTTCATTGTAGTTATTACTTAAATGAATTTCTTTAAATTTTTACATTGTTATCAACCGAATTTAAGAATTAATTGTGTAATGCTTTTTTCATTTCAGAGTAATTTCATTTGATATTTGGTTTCAAACTGAAATTTTAATTGTGTTGAATGAATTTATGAATCGATTTAATAATTAACTGTACAAATATGATTTTTAATAAATTTTATCAGGGTTTGACTCAAAATATTTTTGAAAATTATATCAATTGTTTAAATTTTAATAATTAAGCTTTTAGTATGTTTTACGTACACAATATTCAATGTGTATGTGTATTTGTGTATATAAAACAAATTTGTACCATTAAAAAACAAGAAAATATATATAGTTGGAAATTGAAAATTGATTTATGATACAGCTCTTCATCATTATTTCTTCTGCAAACAATGATTCTAAATCATTATAATTGACACAATATAAGATATAAAGAATAAAGTAGTTTTTGTTTGAAATTTATGGATTTAAAGTAATAAGCAATATAAGTCACTTCAACTTGTTATTTCAAAATCGTAAATTATTGAAAATATTTTATTTTTAATATAATTTCTTCTTATGACTTTGCTATTTATAAAAAAATATTTATAAGAAAATATATAAATTCTTATTATTATCATTAAAATATTGTTAATATCATTTATAACGAATGGAAAAACTACTATTGATTTGTTTTTCAAATATGTCACTATAGTATACACAATGTCCTTTTACAGCTAATAATTTTAAATTTAACAAATTTACTAAATGTCCTTAACTGGACAATTGTAAATATAATAGTGAATAAAAAAAATATAATATTACGGTTTACGATTTTGTAGGTAATAGAAAATTTATTACACAGTTCTTTGACCTCCTATTACGTATAACATGTATTTTATCACTTGTTTATTTAAAGCCTTTTTAAGAGAAATAAATAAAAGAGTGAAATCTGAATATTATGCTCTATCCTACAATACTATGAACTCTGGAAAGATTTGTCCGATGGCAAATCTTCATCGATTTCATTGAGCTCTTTTACAACAAATCCATGTTTATTTCCATATAAAAAATATGTAACAATTTATCCTTTTTCATTAGAGTGAAGTCTAGATAATTTTTTTTTTCTTTTTCTTGCTTCTATTATCATTATTTTTTTTTATTCTTTTATTCTTTTTCTCTCGTTTGTGTCACAATAGCTTTTATTCTTTTTCTCTCGTTTGTGTCACAATACCTTATAAGATTAAATTATATCTTGATTGCTATTTTGATAAATAAATAAATAAATAAAAATATCTTTTTTTCAGGTGATAACACCGAATCGATCTTTAGTACTTATGGCTGAAACACGACCTGAAATGGAGGACTGGCTGTCCGCCTTGAAAGCCGCCTCCAATCGCCTCTACTACGAACAAGGAGTCCACGATTTTTTATCAGGAGATCACCACTGGTGAGTAATGATTTTAAAAATTATTTTTTATCTACATCATTAATCAAGGGAAAATATAATATCATTCAGATGTTCAGGACTAATCCTATGTAATCCTGTGTCAGAATTACACGAATGATCTGAGAAAATGGCTTAACTTTGGTAAATTGATTCGTACAATTTAATAAGCAATCATAAGAAAATTAAGCCAAATAAAAATACATATATTCAACATGAAGATATATAAATATGCAAAAGGAAATACAAAAGTGCAATAACAATCTCACGATTCATATTTTCATCAGTAAAAATTTGTTTTCCTGGAAGTAGGTATATAAAATGAGTGCATGCACAAAATCCTCTGACTTTTTATAAGCGGCTTTATTCTTGGGCTTTATAGAAACTTCATTAACAAATGCGCCAATTTCCACTAAAAGATTAAAAACTAGATTTTGTATTATATAATTAGCCTCTAATAAATCTGATGAACATGGCATTATGAATTTGAAGGCTATATGTGAGAAGTCTAATTTCCCTTTCCTAGTTGGGATCTAATTTACTTCACAAGATCACTATAGTCGAGTATTTGCTTGTTAATTTATTTAGAGTATTTGCAGTTTCCTACTTGAGTTTGTGTTTTAATTGCAATTGTTTAGAAGTTGTAATTGCTTAAATAATTGCGAAACATGTACTAGTATGTGGATTATTTGAGTTAATAAATGTTAGAGTGGGAATTCAGCTCCAAATTTTACTATTGTCTGTTTGAAATTAGGCGTTTCCTTGTTAGTTGTTTTTCATGAGATCTACGAATTTATTAGAATAATTATTAATTTATTAGTTGTGTACTTGGCAGGTATTTATTAAATAATTACTATCAATTTGCGAGATGTTATTTGTTTTTACTTTCTGAACCAACAATATTCTTAGTAATCAGCACCTATTAGTTTCTTATAACTTTTTTTATCGAAAGTAGAAAAGATTTGTTAATAATGGATTAAAAGCTCATATAAAATGCAATAAAGATTTACTGCGCAGATATAATATTTAAGCGTTAGTACGGTATTAGAAAGATTTAAGTTTTATGAAAAAAGTTTGAATAACTTCCTGTTGTTTTCGCCTTCTGAGAATAAAAATGCTCGAATAGAAAAGTTTGAGTTTTGATCGGAAAGTTTGTATGAACGGATTTTATAATACATTTTTTTGTGCTAATATAAAATTGTTGATGGGATCAGAAATGTATTTTGAGATTTTATGTTTGTTTTGGGAAAAGGAAATTAGAATCTAGTTTAGAGAACAACAATAAAATTATCTATTCATATAATATTTTCCAATCCAATTTTACTTTCTTTTTAAAAAGTTTTGGCACGCCTATTCAAAAGTTATTTTGTTTTTATTCATATATATGAGTATATCAAATAATAAAAAATATTTTTTTTTCATAAATAATTTTCTAATAGTTCAATTAACAATTATTTGTAATACATATAACAAATTAAAAAAACAGTAATGAATTATTTGTTTTACATAATTAAATCCTTAAAATACAAATGTAAAATGTCCACAATAATTATTCAGGTGTTCATAATAATCGATCGATTATGTTTATACGAGACACATAATTGAAGCGGACAATTATTTCTGTGTTCTGTTATTATTTGTGTAAATAATATATCCAAAACCCTAATGGGAAATGTATATTTAGATAATACAAAGCATGTTTTCGGATAATATAGAGCGACGCCATAGATAACATTCAAATTGACAAGGAAAAATATTATTTCCATATTTGACGAGTAATTTGTGCTATAATATACTAAATTATTCACCTGTCGCGATGTGAGCGATTCAAACTATCGATTGATTGAAAAATTTAACGTCATTGGGCATACTTTGATGAGCTTTTGATAAAATAACTAGTGGTGCAAGACAATTAACATTTTCAAAAAAGCTTTAAAATTTGTTGAAATATTTAAAAAAATTAGATTTTTGAGAATTTTCGAAAAATTCTAACTTTTTTAAAAAGTTTGAACTTTTCTATATTCAGAAATTTTTTGAACACCGCTGCATCTGCTATGCGGCGTTTTAGAAACGTTTTCAAAGCGCATGACTTAAAAAAATATACTTATTATAAAATCTTTATCAAATATATGATAATAAAAATTCAATCATTTCTTTATTTGATCCATTTGGTTTTTGAATCATTCAAGTCAGACGCTCCGTTTTCTCAAAACCTGATTTGCCGTTTTGGCTCTTTTTGCTCGAAACGGCTGAACTTGCCTTTGCCAAAAACTAATCACTACTTCTCCGCTTCAGTACAAATCTAATGTTTTTTAAATCATTAAAATCAGTTAATCTGTATTCCAGAAATTGCCGATGAAAATTTGTATCCGCACACACACCTATACAGCAATTTTTTCTAGGGAATGCCAAAATGTTCAGAAACTTCTCAAACGTGAAGATATGTAAAAAAAGAGTGCGCGTAAGGTTCACACGCGATTGAAGTAAAACTTATTTGCTACTGCACAAGATGGCATCTAAGTGAAAATAAATACATCATATAACAATTTTGAATAATGTTTATTAATAATATGGTAACACTCGTGACGCACACATTTATTACTGCGGACCATTATACACATTTATATAATAATAAATAATAAATTATATATTTATAATAGCATTAAAAATTTACATAGTTCTTATAATCAAGTTATAGTAATCGCAAAAAAATCGAAAATGAAATTTTTTATTAATCTACGTTTCAAAGGTTTCTGAATATTTTGGCATACCGCAGAAAAAATGAATGCATGTGTGTGTGTGCGTGTGTGTATGTATGTGCGGATACAAATTTTCGTCGACGATTTCGGGAACACCGATCAACCGATTTGAATAATTCAAAAAACATTTGATTCGTATTGATGAGGAGACGTGCTGATTAGTTTTTGGTAAAGGCAGGTCTAGCCGTTCCGAAGATATGGGGCAAAAAGTGCCAAAAACGGAAACTCAGCTTTTTAAGAGAACGGAGCGTCTGATTTGAATAAATCAAAAAACATTTCACTTGTATTAACAAGATGAAGTGATCAAATTTTCATGAAGGCAGGTCTAGCGGTTTTGGAGATCTAGTAAAATAAGTAAAAAAAATGCCATTTGGAGGTCAAAAATGATCATTAGATATATACACATCAAATTATCAGATATTTTATAGAGATTTTAACAATAAGTATAAATTTTGTTTACATTCCTACGGGTTGCGTACCAATGCTTATCCATTAGACGCGGCGCTTACGCGCTTCGATATTTCGTCTCTATGCAGTTAAAGCAGTACGATTGTTTTGAAAAAAAGTTTAGAATTTTCAAATTATTTCAAAATACTTACTAACTTCTCTTCGAAAAGTCTTTTTTTCAAAAAAAAAGTAAATTTTTGTCAAAAATTTATAGTTTCTCAAAAATCTAATTTTTTCAGAGTAGATTTTTTTCAAAAATGTTAATCTTTTTAAAAAAAAATTTTTTGGTACGGGAAGTTCTAGCAATTTGAAGTAAGGCACGATTCTATGCGCCCCACTAGTATATTTATAATAGCATTAAAAATTTACATGGTTTTTGTAATGTTTATTTCATAAATTTATCAAAAACAAACTTGACCCAATAGAGTAGTGGTCAAGGCGCTCCACTGCCACGCGGTGGTCCCGGGTTCAAATCCCGGTGTGGGCGATAGATAATAGATAAGAATAAAATATAGCGTGTAAATAGTAGAATGTAAGGATTGTAAGGGGTGAAAAGATACGTAGGGTGCATATTATTATATATAATAGGTTAATAGCAAATAACGATGAAGCGGTAATAGATTTATATATAAACGTAGGAACTGATGGTCCTAGGTATCGTAAGATAGGGGTAATTCTTCAACCTCAGTAGTTTTCGAATAGGATTCCATTCCCCTGACCAATAAATAAATCATTGTCATTCCTCTTTCCAGGTATGCGACGTCTCACGCTCGTCCGACTTACTGCAACGTGTGCCGCGACGCTCTCTCGGGCGTCACGTCGCACGGTCTCTCCTGCGAGGTCTGCAAATGCAAAGTGCACAAGAGGTGCGCCGCCAAGGCGGTCAGCAACTGCAAATGGACCACGCTCGCCAGCGTCGGGAAGGACATTATAGAGGACAAGGATGGGGTGAGGAGATATTTATGGTTGTGCTTGGGGTGTACATGTTACTAAATAATGTATCCGTGTACGTTATTTAGGGTCGTGTAGAGCATACTTGGGTGTGTTGTGACTTAGTGTTTTGTTTGTTTATTTATAAGGTTCCTGTGGAACAAGGATATGTGGTGCCAGACTATCTTATTTGCTAACTGTATGTTTTCTTGATGTAAAGTAATTGTAAAATATTTGTGTATACAGGGTGTCCCAGAAAAATTCGTTGCGCACTCTTTAATTTTTTCAACAATTTTATTTCTTAAATAATCAACTACAATGTTAGACTACAAATTAATATGCAATATTATGTAAAAATGTATATAAAAAATAATATTTTTTTATTTATTTTTTATATTGTTTCAAAATTTTTGGTTTATTTTCGAAAACAGTATTTTTGATGTCAAAAGGTATACTGTAACAGAAAAAAAACATAACTGTTCTGAAAAAATGTAGAGGAAAAATTATCTCACGTTGTTTGAAAATTATGAGCTTTTAAGTACAACCTAAAGCTTTGGTGAAATTATGACCTTTTTCCGGTTATTTATTTTTAGTTTTGTTCATTTGAACTTTGGAACTGTAACCGTAAATAGCATTTCTAGGATCATAATAAAACAAAGCTCTGTAGAAAGAAGACTTCTGGTTGAACTATGAATTTAAATTACGGTCGACTTTGAGAGTTCTTTCTTCAAAAAAAAATTTACTAAAGTGTGTTCAAAATTAGATTTTTGAGAATTTTCAATTTTTGAAAAATTCTAACTTTTTTGAAAAGTTTGAACTTTTCTATATACAAAAATTTTTTGAAAATTTTGAACTTTTATTGAAACAATCGCGCTGCATCTGCTATGCGGCGTTTTAAAAACGTTTTCAAAGCGCAAAAGTTAAAAAAATATATTTATTATAAAATCTTTATCAAATATATGATAATAAAAATTCAATCATTTCTTTATTTGGTCAATTTGGTTTTTGAATCATTCAAGTCAGACGCTCCGTTCTCTCAAAAACTGATTTGCCGTTTTTGGCTCTTTTTGCTCGAAACGGCTGAACTTGCCTTTGCCAAAAACTAATCAGTACTTCTCCGCAACAGTACGATTTGAATGTTTTTTAAATCATTAAAATCAGTTAATCTGTGTATGCTCCAAGCTCTGTAGAAAGAAGACTTCTGGTTGAACTATGGATTTAAATTATGGTCGACTTTGAGAGTCCTTTCTTTAAACAAATGCACTACAGTGTGTTGGCAAGTTTCATTAAAAAGCTAGCACATTTAATGAGTATTATAAAATGGTGAAATATTTGATTATTTTATTCTTGAAAAATTCTAATTCCAAAGTTTAAATGAACAAAGTTAATCACAATAACCGAATTTTTTTTATAATGTTACCCAAGCTCTTGGTTACACTCAAAAGCTTGCAATTTCCAAATAACGTGATATGATTGTTACTCTAATTTTTTCAGGACAGTTAAATTCATCACTATCACCTCGTTTAGGCTTGACGTTAAGTACTGGGACACCAACACTAGTTTTGCCTTTTACCCGCTTTTTTTTCTAAATAATAACTAGAGTACTACTAGTTTCTTAGTGCTTAAAAGTTTTAAACAGATTTTGTATCTATGAGATTTTTTTTAAAAAAAATCCAATAAATAAAATTCAAAGTTTATGGTAGATTATTAGAGGTTTTATGAATTTAAGATACCGAGAAATTTATACAAATTTCCTCAAAGCGTAATTTTACTTGGACTTGGTATATTTTAATACATTGTGGCTAATAGGTCATAAGTTATAATACTGCAAGTGTTAATAATTTTGGAATCATAGATTTACTTTTGGTATATCCGAAAGTATTTTTTTTATTTGATTGTCGATTCATAGAATTTTGTTAATATTATCTCTTATTCATTCAAATCATCAATTTGGATTAACAGGACGATCTACTTCATATAAATTTTATGTTTATTGATATTATTTTAGAAATTAATCACCAAGATCACAATATTTTAATTTGTATATTTTTTAATCTGTCTTATGAACTTTGCGTGATCATGTTCAATTTCTTTCCAATGAAATAATTTATTGGACTATATAAGCAAAATGAAGAACCTGAAAAAATATATTTAATGATAATAGTTTGGCATTAAACTTCTTGAAAATACGATGTCTTTATAACAAAAACAAATTTATTTCTGAATGCATACTGCTTTTGTCTAAAAATTATTAACGTGCATATATACATATATGTTTATGCTTGTATAAAATTTATTATTACCCTTGTCCCATTGGCCTCAGAATCCTTTATGATTTATTCCGAATTCGAAAGTGCACCTTCCATTAGAACTTTCTTCAAAAACTTTTGCTACAACATTTATAGCATACAAAATTAACGAGACTTTGAAATTATTCTCCCAAAAAGATATCAAAATGTAATTTGCAATTACAGACTAACTTGAGCGTTATGATTAAACTTGCAGGATTTTAATGCAAGTTGTCATGAAACAAACTTACTAATGGAATGAGCAATAACTAGTTCGCAGTTTTAATTAGTTTTGTTATCAATAACAGATTTAGTGCTGTTCTGGAAATCTATTTTGCAACTTTATCCATATTGAAGTAATTTAATATTTAAATCTATATCTGATAATTTGATAAAACACATTGTAAGAAATATCTGTAAAGCAATTATTTTAATAATACATAACTCAACTAATATTACAGGTTATTAAAATATAAATATATTAATTATACTCAATGGTATAATCAATATCTAAAGAAAGTGATAAATTCTTTTTCATGCCATAAAAATTCAAAAGTAAATTTTGTAATATAGTTTTTCTTTAATTATTCAATTGATGATTGTATCCCGATGATAATTTCGATATTAATCAAGATATAAATGTTGAAGACTCTATTCATTAGTAATGTTTGTATTCACAGTTGAATGTTTGACTAATTGCTTTGACCTAGATGAAATTGTTGGCGTTCGTATTGGAAAGCTAAATACACAGAACAATTCTATTATTAATTAATAAATAGTTGGATATAACAGTTTTTTAGATCATATGCATGTAATACTATAAAATTCACAAACAATAAATTTTTGTTTTTAAAATCCTTTGGTAAAATGTTTAGTTGCAATTTTAAGCTTCTTTTAATTTTTGTTTTTATTGACCTTTCTTCTTCCTTTAATTTTCTTTATTTTTATATGTCTTATACTATCCAATTTTCTTTACAAATGACTTCTACATTCTTCTTTTTCTTCTAACCGTGCTTATTTTTCTAACTTCTAATTCTATTTTACCTCAAATTAACAATTCAAATTCTACTTAGTTTCAATCCAACAAATCAAATGACAATTCTATGTCAGTGCCAGGACTCGAACAGAGTATCCCTGGCGTTTCAGAACTTATTTCGTATGGATCTATTTTCAGGATCTATTTCGTATGGATTTACAAAGAATTTACAGATTCTGGATTCTATTCTATTAAAAATTATGTTAATATGTTAAAAATTACTAAGTATAAATATTTGTTTTTTTTTTTTACAGAACATTACAATGCCTCATCAATGGATGGAGGGAAATCTTCCGGTTTCGGCCAAATGTGCAGTCTGTGATAAAACTTGCGGATCAGTATTAAGGTAAGAATTAATAGAAATGATCAATAATAATTAAGCAAAAATTATATTAAGGCCGCGGTTTCCAATCTGTGGGGCGCGCCCCATCAGAAGAGCTCCTGGCTGTCACAGGGGGGGGGAAGGATTTTCAATAATAAATTAAAATTTTTTCAATAATATAGAATAATATTTATTTTTTATTCATATTTTTACATGATATTGCATATTAATTTGTGATAAAATAAAAGTGTTGAGAAAATTAAGGGGGTTGCAACATTTTTTTTATTAAAGCAGGGGACGTGGTGCGAAAAGGGTAGAAAACCACTGTATTAAAGTGTTAATTACGATAGCTAAATTATAAGGCATTTTTAAATCACAACTTGAATTTTTGCAAATCTCTAAACTGATTCTCTCCAATTTTTCTAGATTCAGGGACCGATTCTGCCGCTATTTTATGATAAGGTCATGTTATGAAGAATTTTCCATAGTAATATAGACAAAAGTTATGCGGTTGGTGTTCAGTCAGGCGAATTTCTCAGGTTTTCTGATGCAAAACATAACCTAAAAGCCGCACAAATGTCAAAAAAACGATGTTAGATAAGTGTGTGTTTCTGATTCCTCTTAGGTAAGATACGAGTGACGTTGCAGTTTATGTTTAAAACGCCGGAATGAACAGCAAATACATGATATTTTGACAGCATTCAGTATGATTCATTCGCATAATGTATGGGGAGTCGGAGCGTAACATAGCCACGCCGTAACATTTCTCTGTTATGCGCAGAATCGGTCCATCAATTTCCAATTGTTCCTAGAGAAATAGGAAAGATATAGTATGTTGTACATGTGCCTACTATGTCTTTGCATGGCATTTATATAAAAATAAATATTTACATCTGTATTTTTGTAATATATCAATTTCAAATGTAATCCAACGTGACAAGATATTACGTTCGCCATATGAAAATGTATATTTTCTGTGACGTTGGTGACTTATTCTATTTGTTGGTTGTCCAATGCACAGTTGAATATGACAGTGGAATTGGATTGTGGGCGACACATTGTCATTCGATTTTATCTTTTATATTCTCTTCGGCTAATAAAAATATCACATTATACACGTATAAAATGATTACGTTATGTGTCGTATCCAGTTTTGTCTGTACGTCATGTTAAAAGATGTTGAACCTTGCAAAGGTCGCTGTACTGGGGAGATGGTACGTCACACCAGGAGACTATCCAAATATTGGAATGTGAGATGGTATAAAGGATAGTTTTAGTGAAAAAGTGTATTGATAAATCACTTTTTTGTATTAGGAAAAGAAGAGTAAGAAGCCAATTCTTCAATATAATGGACCGTAACATGGCGTTGTGTTCTTCATATAAATTGGTAGTAAAAACCGTCAAAAAATTTATTATTATTATTATTATTATATTTCAATTATTTTGACAAGAAAAATATCAGTTGCTACAGACAACGAAAAGTTTTTTAGATCTTCTTTTGAGACAGAAAAATAATTTGTAAGGGAAAGTCCCGTAACGCCGGACCGCACCAAGAACCGGACACTCTATTTAACACGTATTATTTAAGCGAGTATAAATCTTTTCATTTTAAAATACAAGTGAAAGGGCATGGGGAGCATTTGTTAATTTAGTTTGATTTCTAACTTTGTTATTTGACGTAAATCATAATTTAATAAACATTTCGTAAAATATTTTTTGATTTATTTATAATAACCTTAGGTGTCTTTTGAATATTTATTATTTTTAAAACTAAAATAATGCAAAACTATAAATATTAATAATAGACTAGACAGGTATAGGTCATATTTTTTTAAATAATTAATTTTAACAAACTATTGAATTATACGTTTCAAGAATTACGTGTAACTGATTTCCAATCAATATCTGTCTATTTCTAAAAGTGAAATACGACAAAATTATAAAAATTAATTAATGTGAAGCATTTTTCTGTCCCCGGGGACATTGCAATTGCAATCAAGGCAAGAATAGGAAATGCACGTGATCATAACAATATAGAAGGAACTTCATATTACTGGTCTATTTTCGTACTTTTGAAACAAAATATTAGCTATTTCTCTGAACTCTGAATATCACGTGGAAAGTATTAAACTATACTGCTATAAATGAAATAACTGAGAAATGGGTGTAAAGGAAATATTTCATAAAGAATTTATGAGCACTCTTCTAATATTTTCAAAGACGATAACGATATTGAAATTTTATTATTATATATAATATATAAGTATTTATATTATTTTATATTTTTACTGTTTTATACGTCTTTTACAAGTTTTTGGTGTTGATACGAAGTATCTTACTATTACTTCGATGTAAAAACTCTAGTTTTCCTACGAAGTTTTGTGGTGAAACTGATACTCGCAACAAAATCGCAAGTATCAGAAAAGTTTTGGGTTATTTCCCAGGAAGATCCAATCGGATAAGAAACAAGTATCAGTCTTCCGGGAATAAGTAGTTAAGGATTTAAATGATGTCGGTCTAATCTGTATCATTTATCACGAAAGACATTCATCCAATAACGAAGTTTTGGGGAATAAAACTGGAAAGAAGTTTAGGAATAGTTTATGTCACTTATAGGGCAAAATATTTAATATGAAAACAAAAATTTTTTTATATATTTTTGTTTATTAAAAATTCAATTTATGTATAGGATAGGACGGGGCACAAAGGTACAGTTTGAATTTAAGCAATTATATTATGAAAACTAAGTCCGTGATATTAAACAACAACTATCTAACTATGTTCAGTAAAACTTTCAGCTAATTAATCATCGTAGAAATATGTTTTTTTTTGGGTATTCAAAAATTTGTCACCTGGCCCTTTTTACCTCATAGGCTGGGTTAAAACATACAGTCAAAAAAAATACTTGCGTAATGGATTTTCAAACAATGCCGTTTATTTCCCGATGGCAACTTCGTAAAAATCAAGGTGATGGCTGAAAAAATACATCATTTTTTCTCTCTACTTTCAAATATTGTTGCTACAAAATTTTCAACGTTACTTGTTCACGATATATCGGTGGTTGACCTTTCTACTCGCGGACCTTTAAGCCCCATTCTACCCTATACTTAATTATTTATTATTTTAATTGAAACCTAGAGGATAATAGTTTTCGTAAAAAATTGAATTTTTATGTAAATAACGCTTAAATTTCTATGTAAAATGTATAATTTTACATTCATGACATTTTCCTTAAAGAAATAGTATAATTAAACATGATATCTCTAATAACACTTATTAAAATTTTTATGTAAATAATGCTTAATTTTCTATGTAAAATGTATAATTTTACATTCATGACTATTTTCCTTAAAAAAATAGTATAATTAAACATGATATATCTAATAACACTAATTAAACTAGTGTTAATGGAACATGAAATACATGAAAGCTTGCAAATGATATATCTATAAATTAACATGAAACAAGGGGGAAATATAAAATATATAAAAAATTAATATACTTATAGTAAATTAAAAATACGTGCAAAATTACACCATTGATAATTTATTCCTTCCGACTTTGGAAGTTATTTTTAATTTAGGATTTAAGACAAATTTTTTTAGAAACATAGATAGATATTTTATTTTTGAACTACAAATTTACTGAAATCTTATAAAATCTGTTATATACACTTACATAATAAAATTTTGAATTAAACCTTTTGCAACATTTTTCCTGTAATATATTATATTTATTAGTAGTTATGGGTCGTACCTATAGATTACAGATTTTGTAGTAGAGAGTAAAAGAAAAATTATGTTGTTTATTTCAATCGATTCGAGTTGGGAAAAGGGTATGTAAATCCTATGTTAACAATAGACTGCTTTTATTGTTAAAAAATTGCAAAAACAATTTTTTTCTTCAATAACTGAAAGTTGAATTCAAAATGAGTATAATAAAAAAATCACACTGATCTGTTCACCACAACTGGAGATATTAAGATTAATGCAGAGGAAGTCCATCAAAATTGAGCAAATTATCCAAATTTCAATCGGAAATATTTTCTTTAATTTTTTTTTAATACGTGTCAAATGATTTTATGAATAGTATCTGTAAACAAATTTTCAGACAATTCTAAAATGTCAAGGTTAATTGGTGTTAGGTTTGTAAAAGAATAACCCTTATATGTGAATTTTGGACATTTTTTTATATTTTTAAGTTTATCTTGAAATTTTTGTTCCAGTCACTTTGTTCTATATACATCAGTAAAAAGTTTATGAAATTTAATAAAATATAGTAAAAGCTTTTATATGCATAATTTTGTAGTTGAAATGCGAAAACAATTAGGAGTTTATACTTAATGAATATTATTAAACTTCATAGAATATGTTGTATGTTGTGGCACATCATTTATCCCATTTATATCGTCTTCTATTTTAGATTACAGGATTGGCGATGCCTCTGGTGTCGTGCGACAGTTCATACGGCTTGCAGACCCGCTCACAAAGTAAAGTGCCCCCTCGGCCCGAGTAAAGTGAGCGTCGTGCCGCCCACCGCTCTGCATTCTGTGGGCTCCGAGGAGACATGGGAGGCGACCAGACCGCAGGGTTGCTCGCCCCTATTGGTTTTCGTCAATTCCAAGTCGGGTGAGATACAAGACTTTGTTTAATACTAATATTTATTCGATTCTTTTGCTTATACAAAGCAATACTTGATGGTGTTTGTTTGTTGATGGATATTGTGATCCACAAATACTAATATTTATTTTTTGAATTTACATATCTACGTTTTTTAATCGTTACACGTTTATCAAAGCTTTCTATGATCTCACTAAGCTCTTGCAGTTTTTTGCAAATCTTCAATTATATTTTTATTATTTAAGGGACACAACTAGTGTAACCGCCTAAAAAAAGGTGATTTTTGGGAATTTATATTAAAAAAACTACTTTATCAATCATTTCAAAATTTTAGAAATATATTTATACATGTTTTCAGAATACATAGTAAAATTTTTGAATAAAAAAATTAAATACTTTTTAAGTTATCGTCGATCTTCAACGGCGCGACAAAAAAAAGGCCCTTAACTGCTGCAGTGATTCCGGCCTTCTACGTGGATGAAATAAAAAAAAATTCTTGTTAAACTAGATAATATTGTCTGTAAAATGAACTACGACAAAAAAAATAAATCAAAGATTGACAAAATGGCGGCGTTTTAAAAAAAACGTGTAATTTTACCCAAAATTTTCGTCGTTTTTCGACTGCCAAATTTCGATTTTTGATCTGATCAAAAAATCGATAGTTTATTTTACGGAGAACTATATACAGAACATGTAAAAAAATTTGATAGTGATCGGATCATTCGTTTTTGAGTAATCACTGCAGCAAATTCGGAAAATACTGTTTCGAGAAAAACGCGTTTAAAGATTAAATGACCGTTGTACTATATACTATATGTATACTTTTTAAATGGCTGTAACTCAAAAACTATTTGAGATATTGATTTGAAATTTTAATATGTTAGTTTTAAAGGTATAATCTACCGAAATACGAAAAAAAACAAAAATCGATTTTTTCAAAATTTTACACTAGTTGTGCCCCTTAAAATAACTGGTTTAATTACAATAATTTTATATTAGTATATTATATCACAGATTGATTTTATTAAATTTATTTAAATATTAGTAATTATTGGCCTATGCACAATTATGATTTGCTTTCAAAAATGAGCATTGGCAACGGTTCTCACAAATTTTGGGGTACGGTTGTGAAATGTACCTTTTGTCTTTTTCCGGTGAAGAAAAAAAGGTAAAATTAATGGTTTATTATGACAATGAAAGACATTATAAACCATTTTGGTCTTTATACCTATTTTTAATCTTGTCACTAACCCCAACTTGTGTCACGTTTTTTGTATGGTTTGATTTTATGACTAAAATACATCATATTAAGCGACGGTATTTCAATATTTCCACGTAGACAAATGTTTAAATTACCACTTAATTCAATTTTCTCCTAGCTAGCTGGTAAATAAACAAAATTATGGCTGATCAAATAAAAAAGTGACACTACCGTACCCAGTCTCCCCTACGCCTTTATGTTGCGTTGTTTTAAAATAACTTTTAGTTATTATATTACGAAGCAAAATAATTATATGAAAGTATCTGAATATTATATAAAATTGTTCTAGGAAATTATATAATATGACTCTAAGCATTTACTTATAATAAAGCTTGTTTAATCAACGCAAACCGTATCCGAGATGCTGAAGTAATTATTTTATAGAGTATACTATATAACATTACACTGAAAGTTACTGTTTCTACGTAAATAATACGTATGATATTACATCATTATTGTAAAATCAAAATCTTTTTTTTTCAATAGAAGCGTTTAAATCGCCAACGATATTTTTTTAATGTATTTGTAATAGATACTTTGCTCTTGGCATTAAAAGACATCATATCGTTTACAAGCTGTTCAAACAGATTTTGTGAATTTTATTTTAATACACGAAATACTCTATTGAATATAATATTTCAAAAACGTATTACTAATAAAAATATTATAATTAAAAAAGTTTACTGAAGTACGAGCAGAAGTTGCTCCTAGCATATGTTTCTGACTGGCGTGAGCTTTATGATTTTAAATGAGAAATTACTTTATATGAAATTAAATATGAAAATCAGTTTGAAATTAAAAATGATTGTAAAAAAGTAATTTTCTCATTCTCAAAAAATTGTATTGTAATTGTACTTCATCTCCTGTATATTTTATTTTTCCTCAGGTGATAACCAAGGTGTGAAGTTCTTGAGGCGTTTTAAGCAACTTCTGAATCCTGCACAAGTATTCGACCTAATCGGTTCAGGTCCTGGTGTAGGTTTAAATTTATTTAGAAACTTTGACCATTTTCGGATACTGATCTGCAGCGGTGATGGATCAGTAGGATGGGTGCTTTCGGAAATCGATCGATTAGATCTTCTGGTAAGTAGAAATAGATCGAAAATATTTTTATATAATTTGTTTTGAATTAATTTACTTGTCCAACTCTGAATTGAGTTATTTCTTTCATAATGATTAATTTCACCCACTGCCTATTTATGATATATCTCTCCACTTAATCTTATGTGCTCAATTAATAATAGCACATGTTGTTTTCACATATATTGGGATCAAACAACAAGAGATAAATAATTGTTTTCATATATTATCTAATTGCTACAAGATGTACAATGTAGGAACTTTTCTCTTAGTAATCAATTGATTTTGATTAATGGTAAGAAAGAACTTTGTTTATAAGATTTTTTCTTTTGTTTCTTATTGTAATATATATCGTTTCGATCAATATGCTACATTATAATTATGTTAATTCCTCCTTTGACCTACATTTGTGTTTATTTTGGTGTTAATTAACGTTTTAATGAAAATATTTTCAATTTTTATTCCGTGTAAAAAAATAATACAGAGAAAAATTAAAATATAATACCTTCGTAATGCTACTCATTAATTAGAGTCTCCAACTCTAATAATTAAGAATTCGCTTAAATGCTGATTAAATTTTTGCAACGGGCTTTTATTCGACTTTCTTTATTATTCGCCAGGGCGAATATTGCGAATCCTCTCATTAGAAATATTAATATACTGTTCCCTTCAGAAAACATAACTCATATTGCTTTATTATACATTTTTATTATTGTATAATATTAAATTTTTTGTACTGTAGACTTTTTCTCAATGTAGGAGCAAGTAGATTTTTTTAGAAGCAGAACTGAATCAGCCGGGTTTCGATTTTAGTAAAAAAAAATCTATAGTTGCAATTTAATTAATATATTATAATTTATAAATTTAATATATTATAATATATTAAATATATTATAACAGTCTATTAATATACTTTGTGTGATATCAAGCAGCAATGATATCAGATTTTCACTTGCGATTATGGTTCTTAAATATGATATCGAGAGAAAATGATCTTTTAAGAGAATAACTACATAATAATAAAAAGTGAAAAATATTATAATTTAATAATAGTTTTTAAGAAAAACATTACAAGGAATAAAACTTTTGTGCTTCAACGTTGTTAGATGAAATCAAATCTTACTGCCTAAATAAAAATTTAATCTTATTAATTTGTGCTCCTATTTTCCAAATTTATAAAATTTCCTTCTGCAGCTATGATTGAAATCTTCTTATTTAGTTACCTGAAATTGATCTAGAAAATTATAATGAATTTTCTTCATCATTCTAATTTCTTTTAAGATTTTTTCACAATGGATAGGCAAACCTGGATTTTTCTCAGGTTTGTCTATTGTTCAGGTATCAGGTATGGTACTTTTTATTTATACAAAAAGTACCATTCGAAATTTTAATAAAAGTTTTTATGAATAACATCACCAAAAATAAATCTTTTGTGCTCAAAAGTTATTAGATGGAATCAAATCTTACTGCCTGAAAAAAATTTCTTCTTATTAAATTGTGCTCCAATTTTCCAGATAAACGTATCGCATTTCTCAAAATAAGACGTAATGACGTGATGTATACGATACATTACCCTAATAGGCTGTCACAACTCTGGAATTCGTAAAATAACCTTTTGCTTAAATAATGATCAGTATTTTGTTACCCGTCGTCCGTATATTTCATTCCACATATGTGCTCAATTTTTTCATATGGCTTCATGTAAATATAAAAATAAAACGTATTCTAAAAAACTGAATTCGTACTCCGACGCAATGTGATGTTTTATTCAAATATCTTGTGCGTAGAACGTGAAAATAAGCTCTGCATAATTTATTATAAAAGACTTGCCGTTTTATGGTCATATTTCGATGTTTGTTTGTCTATATCTCATCTTGAATGGAAGTGGAAACTTTTTTACAAGAATCGTAAATGTGAATGAGAAACATGCTACACGAATTTTAAGAGGTTTATTACATACGGGTGTAATAATCTTGGAAGAAAAATTTGCCGTTTCGTTTGTCTTTTGGATTATGCAAAATGTATAAGAAACATTGTATAGGACCAATAGTATATATGAAAGGTATATCTAAACTCCTCCATTTCTACTAAAATTTGAATCAAAAACAATCAACAATCAAAAGTTCTAAACTAGTATTAATGAATCATCTGAAATATTGAACTACATCTAATATATATATATAATACTTTATATTACTGAAACCACTTATCATAAATAAATAGCCACGAATATTGAATAGCCATTTGAAATCATCCATCAATGTATTAATATCGCAACTCTTTCTGTTCCGCTTTTAGACTCCATTTATCAAATTTCTAAAAAATTAGAAAAATTTAAACAATTTTAGCCGTAAATAACTTTCATATTATATAGTTTTAATGGAATTTAGTTCAAGATTTTAAAACGATTATTGCATATTGAATTCTGCATTAATAATATTCTATTAATACGCCATGTGTGATAATTCATCAAAGGCAAATTGCATACTCAAACGTTTCGATATAAATTGTTGTGATATTGGTACATAAAACAATTTCATTTAACTTTATTGAATTCTCATGCTGTTATTTAATTAAGTTTTATCATTGCGTTTACAAAAAAATAAAAAGATATAGATTGAAGCCTCTGACATTTTATGAAATGATAGGCAGAAATATATTAATCATGGACTGGATTTTAATTATTGCTTGTTTACCTGTGACACATGGATGGAAATTAATAACTCCGCTTTTAGAAGTGAACGGATTTTTAATTAAAAATGTGACATTTGGGGACGAAATAAACCAAATCGTGAAAATCGAAATATACTCTTGTTGATATTTTTATTATCTGTTGACAGTAAATAATGAACAGAATGTTGGCACTTCTTTTGTGTTAGGATAAAAATAAAAATACGATGGAAAATCTGAATATAATATGAGGCAAACAAAGCACAGTTATATAATAAAGAAATTGAAATAACTGATATATAATAAACATCGTTTGACTAATTATATATGGACAATTACAATGCAGGTTATTCGTGTGTAATATCTCCCAAATATCATTGTATCCAGAATAATTCTGATACAAATAATTATTTGTTTCTTTGAACAAGTACTTTTTCTTTTATAATATCCAGTAATTTATTTTCCAGAAACAATGTCAAGTAGCAGTTCTGCCTCTGGGCACCGGCAACGATCTTGCTCGTGTTCTGGGATGGGGCGCCTCATGTGATGACGACGCACATCTACCTCAATTATTAGAACGTTATGAAAAAGCTGGGACAAAAATGTTGGACAGGTTGGTATTCAATTATATTTGTCTTTTTCAATTATACATTTTAAATTTTATTTATTATTTTTAATTGTTCCTTTTCAGGTGGAGCATCATGACATTCGAACGTGACATAGCTTTTCCCAAGATTCCAAATGGTGATACAGTACCTTCTTCGAGTTGCGACACAACAGCCGACACGCCTTTGTCACCAGCCCTGGAGCAGTGTGAGGCTTGTGCCTTGTGGCACTTGCAAACCATTCTGCAGGCAGATGATAGTGCAGCAATTCATGCTTCAGCAGAATTGCTTCAAAGAACTGTCCAAGAAATGTTGACGCGTGTCAGGGAAATAAATGCTGCGGAAGAAGATGCTACGGAGAAGGAGCAGCTTGAAGTTAAGGCTGATTTGCTTAAAACGAAGCTGGATATGCTGATCGAGACTTTAAATAATGAAGAGGTAATTCGAGATAATTTTACGGCATTATTGGCACAAATTGACAAGACATTGACAAAAAGTGGAAATTCATTGAAAAATCTTGTCTGCTTCTCTTTTTAAAATAATAAAAAATAGTTTTTTTAATTTTAGTTTTTGCTAAGGGAGTTTTAGCAATTTGCCTTAAGGCACGATGCCATGCACCACTAGTTTGAATTTTCTTTTGATAGAAAAATATAATGTTCATTATTATTTCATTAATTTTCTTTCCTCATACTTAATATTTTTCCAGGTTGGTTCTGTGAGTCTTTCAAATACTACAAGAGGCGGTTCCGGAGATGTTGAAAAAGGCGCCATGGATAAAAAAGAAAAAGAACACCTTAATCTAACAGAGAGACGAGCTCGTTCCGATAGTTTTATAGAACGCGAAGCACTACATTGCCGTGCAGATAGTCTAAAACGAGCAATGAGAAATGTTATGCAACACACGGAAATTGAAACATATAGAAGTAGATCGACTCAGCAAAATTCAACAAAGGTAAATGAAATAAAATAGATACAGATAATAATAAAATTTTGAAATCATGAATATGTATGCAACTGGAATTTGTATGGATATTGGTACAACAAATATTTCAGATACTTATATAAAACTAGCAAACCCGACGAACTCCGTTTCGCCAACAGATGGTTTCGTGAGAAAGATGAAGAAATTTTTTGTTTGCTTTATATTTGAAAAGGGAAAATTTGATTTTATTACACAACAGTAATTAATTTATTTCGATTACAAAAATGAAGTGGTTTTTAGTTGAACTTCTCTAAGTAAATGAAAGTGAATCCGCAAATTATCCGTTTCATTGAAGTGCTCTTTGGTAAACCACATTTTTTGTTTTTTGGTCTGACGTTAACACAAACAAAGCGGATGGTTTTCCAACTCGTGAACAGGCAACGTATAACTGTCCATGTGAAAAACAATGATTTTCTAAATGATCTATTTGAAATTTATCCCGCAAACACTAAGCTATTGGCCTTGCGACTTGTTAATTGTCATTGCGAACTGGAAATTGCAATCGTTTGAAGTCAAACGGAGGACCAGTCGGAATCATTGGTATGTCACCAAATCGCCAGCAATTTTTGATTGAATGGTTAAATTCAGTGCGTGTACATCATCATTGTTTGCGGCAAGAATTGCTCGTTGACTTAACCAAGCATAAATCTGATAATTCTCACTAATGTCATTACTCGAATTTTTAATTACGGTGCGTAAAGTTCCAGCAATTTGCATTAAGGCACGATGCCATTCACAACTAATTTTCTTAGCTATAAACCTTGCAGAGCCCGAGACCTTTCCAACGAATGCAAAATTGTCGAAATCGGTTCGTGCGTTCTGGAGTTATATTATCAGGAAGGAAAACCCGACTTATTTTTATATATATGTAGATAATAAAATTTGGTGGCATTGTTCATATATTAAATTAAAAATATTATAAATAAATAAAAAAATGATCACTCTAATCTTATTATTTTTTTTTACTCGTAGACTACTAAAACTACAGACACCGGAACGACTCGCGGTCCCTCGACCAGTAGATGCGGCAGCCCGACGCCTTACCCTCGGGCTAATAGACAGGGTTCAATAACGCCGACAACCCTCGCCTCCAACCTCCTGTCGGCCGATGTAGTTCCTGCGCCCGGAGAACGTTTGACTTCTATATCGCCGCTGCCGGATCAGCGTCGGGATTCGAATATATCGACCGGATTCGATCACCTCGTAGCCACATTACCTGTGCCACAGGAATTTGCGGACAGTAGACGGTCGTCATACCAACAAAGGTAGGAATTAGAGGAAATATTATATTACGTAGCCATCAAAGTAGCTTCAGGAGGACTTAAAAATACTATTATAAAAATTTACTAATATATATTTATAGTTTCATTTATCTTTTCTTCAGCATTCAAGAAATGGAAGAAGCAGCCGCAGAACTCGTAAAATTATTTCCCTTATGCTCAGCGACGCACCGCACAGAACAAACTACTACCAATGAAAGTGAATCCACTACTATGACAGGCGATTTGCCTTACGATGAAATGTCATTTAATTCCAATACCCCCTCAAGTATGCCCTCTCAGGAAAAAGATGATTCTATTGCTACAGTTTGTACGTCAAATAAACGCAAACTCGAACCTCCGCGAATTACCGTAGATGATGCTAGTAATTATGAGAGCAATGTTCTGGAATCAGAAGCTATGATGATAAGCGATACTGATTTGATTAACAGAAGAGACTCTACAGCCAGCGACGTATTATCTGCTATGAGCAATGAAGAATGCAGTGTGGGATCCGACATTTTAGATAAAGCTTATACAGCTCCTCAAAATTCGGACGGAGAAGATGCCAATGGCCACATAGGGCATATTGATAGTCCAGAAACATCAGATACGACTTGTCAAAATTCTGAAGCTCTGCATGGTGAATCTATAGTGGATGATATAAGCTCGGTGTTAGGACAAGATTTAGTAGCTGCGATTACTGCTGACCAAACGATGACGGAAGATTCGACAGTCTTCCGAAAAGATTGCAGGACGAATGGAAAAGTACAAGCTTCTGGAATTGATAACCGAAGTGATGAACAGAAAATCAAATACTGTAGTTTGGCACAATTTGAAGAAGGAAACGATATTGCAAGAAGATCTTTTAAACGTCCTTCTTGTAATAATACTAAAATAGTTAAAGTAATGGATGAAAAGGATATTTTAAATGAGGAATTAGAAGAAATAGCGTCTCTAAAGCAAAGAATTCAAGGATCAAAATCAGCAAAACAAAGTTATCCTAGTGTCGTAGTTGAACCTCCTTCACCCATAATAAAATCAGATATGCGAATCGCTAGAGCGAGAAAATCAATAGGTTTTGAAGGATGTGCGGAGAGCAGAATGGAGAGTTTAGGTGTTAGAAATGATACACAACGTCAAAGAAGTAATTCGGATTATAACCCTAATTTGCTTAGACCAGATGCCGAACATATGAAATTTTTGGGTTGTTCACCTGCGGCCACTAGAAGAATATCGAGCGGAAGTTTATTCAAGGTAAGTTGAATTTATTATATAATGTTATATAATAATAAAATTTAACAATTGACTTTTAGGGTAATGAAGCAGCAGTGTTGGCAGCTTCAGTAACAAGTTTATATGCTGGGTCATCTCTAGGTCTTGGTCTTGGAATACCACAATGTCATAAAGATGACAAAGATGAACCAAATAGACGTCTTCCTATTATAAATCCATTAGTTCAGTTACCTACATGGCCTCGTATGTACAAATTTTTATAGAATAAAATTAGAATTTTTAAAATTCTTAATTTTATTATTTGTTGTCTATAGATGTTAGCAGTGGTAGCGGTTTCATATCAAAATGTCTTCTAGCTAATGCAGATGCACTTTGTGCAGCGGTTAGTCCGCTCATGGATCCTGATGAGACTTTGCTTGAAGGATTTTATGAAAGATGTGTGATGAACAACTACTTCGGAATCGGTAAAATATTTATTTTGCATTTTTATATATCGATCCTATGTCGGAAATATTTTTTTAGGTATCGATGCAAAAATATCACTTGATTTCCATCATAAACGTGAAGAACATCCTGAAAAGTGCAGATCACGAGCAAAAAATTATATGTGGTACGGAGTATTGGGCAGCAAAGAATGGCTGCAGAAGACTTACAAAAATTTAGAACAGCGGGTCCAATTGGAATGCGATGGTCAAAGAATACCTTTACCTAGTTTACAAGGAATTGTTATTTTAAATATTTCTAGGTAAATATCAGATAAAATTTATCACGTTCTGTCGTAATCTATCTTATTTTGATGTGTGTAACTTTTTTCTTCGTTAGTTTTATGGGTGGCACAAATTTCTGGGGCGGTAAGAAGGAAGACGATTGCTTTCTTGCGCCAAGTTTTGACGATAAAATTTTGGAAGTAGTTGCAGTTTTTGGATCAGTACAAATGGCTGCTTCTAGGTTGATTAATCTGCAACATCATCGCATCGCACAATGTCAAACAGTACAAATTTCAATTTTAGGTAAATAATGAATAAATATTTTAGATACATAAAAAAGTTTAACTTTAAAATATTATGTAATAACGTATGTCAACAAACTTAAGCATCTTAGTATCTGAAATGTTCATTAAATTTATATTATTGTGTTTATTAGGTGACGAAGGGGTTCCGATTCAAGTGGATGGTGAAGCCTGGATTCAACCTCCTGGTATAATTCGCATAATACACAAAAATCGTATGCAAATGCTTTGTCGGAACAGAGCTCTTGAGACTTCATTACGCACTTGGGAAGAAAAACAACGGAGAAATTCAGTTTCACCTGCAGGAGATCGCTCTAGAGACCACGGACCATCTTCAACCACATCTCAAGATGATGACAGATCCTTCTCATCTGTTCTTATGTCGGATAAGGAGATGACTTTATTATTGAACTTCATAGAAGTAGTGAGCACACTTGTAAAATGGGTAAATATTAATAGATAGTATAATTTTTTAATAATTTATTAAATATTGTATTTTTTTAAATAAAAATGTCATTTTTCGTAATTCCAGGTTAAATTACTTATCATTAGCCATCCATCTCTTGAAGCAGATTTATATTCAATAGCGACTCGTTGTGGAACTTGTCTAGAAAATCTGCATCCTAACGGAAAAATATTAGAAGGATTAGAACTGCGAATGCAATTAACTGATCTGGTATGTAAATAAATACAAGTAAACTAAAATACGATCGAATATTTTTATAAATAATTTTGATTTCAGGTATCAGCTGCTCGACAACTTTATGAAGAAACGTGTATTTTATTGAGAGATAAAGCGCATCATTTAAAACTTCGAGAAGATTTGGAATCAAAATTGAGTGCAGCTTTAGCGAATATGGATTCAGAACTTAGAAAATGCACAAAAACTGAATCACCCGATGGTCCCGTTATTCATTTGCATGCTGTAGAGGAGGTACGATAGTGATTGTAACATAGTAAATTTTGAAAAGTATATGTAAATTTAATCTTTCGTCAAGATTTTCTCAAAAACGGCTGGTCCGATTTTAGAAATTTAAAAGCCACTTTATGTAACTCGATAAAGACTCCTGTTAATTAGTTTAGGAATGTGATGTAACTTCTTCTGGGACAAATTGCTACTTACAATTTTTTTTTTATTTTTTCTTCACCAGACTGAAAGAAAAAATCAGCGTAAGGGTCTCTTCTGGATGAAATTCCGGTCTCCAGCTACTGGTGTCGGTGCTTCAACATCGAGTTCTTCCACAACTTCTGTTTCCAATTGGAGTGTCCAAGAAGTGGCTGCTTGGCTGGAGGCGATGCAAATGCACGAATACGTCGAAAATTTTGTAAAACACGATGTCAGGGGTAGAGAACTGTTGACATTGGCCAGGCGTGATCTCAAAGATTTGGGCATCACTAAAGTGGGACACGTTAAGAGACTTCTGCAAGCTGTGAAGGAATTATCAAGTTAAATGAGATAAGAAGAATTGGTATCTTGATGACATACACGGTATTTATTTTAGTTAACAAAACATAAAATTTATGAAGAAATATATTAGGATTTAAGAATCTTGCTGAATATATACACACAATACAATGGAATGGATACGAATATTTCATTTATAGATAAATGTAATTTGTATTACAAATGGAAAATATTAATATACTAAATTTTTAGTTTTTATTGACTACAATACTAGCAAACCTATCTATACATATTATTATTTACTGTGTATATATAAAGCTAAGATCTAAAAGGACATCCAGTTTTACTAAAAATGGATTGAGAAAAGACTTTAATAGAAGCTTTCCAAACCTAACTAAAACTTACCAAGTATTTGAAATCTTAAAATTTATGAAACTGGTACGGAGTTCTATTAATTTAAGTATGTTTAATTTTTACTCAGGATATGAAAAATATTAATGACAAAATAACAGTAAATTTATAGTTTGAAAAGAAGTTTTTAAGCAAATGATATTTTTTGCGGATTCAACTTTAAAGAATTATTTATTTTAATAATTATTTTAATTCATCGAGTTGAAGTAAAACTTCATAAAGTAATAAATGGATGTCTCCTAATATATTTGATTTTTTTTATTTATTTTAAACTATTTAGTCTTAATGTGATTACATATAATAGGCTGGCCTATTCCAATCACTACTAATAAACAATATGACATGAAACATGTTTCAATATATAAAAAATATTTTTAATAAAAATATTTTGTCTAGAGTTCTATAAGCAAAGAAAATGTGTAAACTTGAAAATGTGTTAGATATTTTCTCAATAACTTTCATTTTCAACTTTTACCTAATTATTATCTAATAACTACGCTATACGGATTTCAATTTTCGTTTAAGTGTATTTGGAAAAGGAGTTGGATATGAAAACACTTAAATTGATGATCTTATGAATCCTGGTATTCTAAACTGTGATATATCATGTCGCTTTGAAGGGCCTCATCTAGGTTTATAAAAATAAGAAATGTACGTTTACTGGATATTATTTTAGAATCGTCGAAAGTTTGTGTCGTAGGAATAGATAGATTTATTTCATTCTGATGATAATTGAAACGTTTTGTGTTATAGTTCGCACAAGAAGCATTTATATTCTTGAAGCAAGTTTCATATTAAAAATATTAACTATTAAAAGAAATATCTATCATCTATATCACTATTATTATTCAAAAAATATTAACTTATGGTTTGAATTTGTCCCAAAATTTTTCAGAAAAATATAACGAGTAACATTAGTTGTTGTTGTAAATTATCACTGTTATTTTTATTCATAAATATCAAGTAATTATTATTTATTTACATGTTTCAAATATCTATATTTTAGTCTGCTTAGTATATAAATTGACGTCTCATTAAGTATTTATTACATTAAGCTAATTACATATCCTTGACTATAAAATCAAACGACAGAATTTCTTCTATTCTAATTATAAATTGAATGTATAAACGATATATTTGTATTTGTGAATGTTTAAAATTAAATTTTTGTATTTACCTCGTATGTTAAAATTAGTATTAAGTATAAGAGAATGGAAGCGATATTTTATAAAGCGTGTTTTAATCGAAAATAGACAAGTTGAATTTATGAATCAAATCATTTTCTTAAATAATATTTATTAAATATTGTTTTATACTTAAAATATATAATTATTCCCTAATACTATATATTCTAATCTGAAGCAATGATTTCGAGATATACTTAGCAATATGATGTAGTTTTTAGAAGCTCCAAATAGGTGATACGAAGGTTCTAATATATAATATTTATGTAATAACTTTTATCAATAATTATATTATTTATTCTATTTTAATTCCCAAAAATGGCTTATTTACACGGTCTATAGAAGAAATAGAGAAGCGTTTGGTTTTTGTAACAAAAAAAATCAGTGGCACAATTTAAAATATGTGTATTATGCGTAATAGTATTTTAGATAGCATTATAATTCTTTATCCTATGTTAATATAAGAATTTTCTAAGAAAAATAACGTATAGCAACTAAAATAGTGTGATCTAGAAAGTTAGTTATGTAGGAATCTATAATATTTATGTAAAAATATACGAGTTAGAAGATTCGTGTAATAAATAAATAAATTTATCATCAGCAATAGTCTGCTAGAAATCGGCGAATACGACGAAAACATTAATTGCTTTTGTAGTAAAATCAAAATTTGTTATTTTTACCAGTTTTGAATTTTGTCAAAAAAAATATATTTCAATATTTACAAGGACAACCTCATGTTTGATCTTCTGGGATTTTGATGAAAATTTGTAAGGTGATAAAGTTCATAGTCAGAACGAACCTCTTAAAATATTGTAGCCCTGTGAGAAGTGGTTTAATAATAAAAATTAACGAAATATAATTTTTATAACTGATCCACTTCTCATAGGCCTATAATATTTTAAGGGGTTCATTTATCATCATGCAAAGTTTCATTGAAATCCCCAGAAGAGTAAATCTGGGTTTGTCCTGGTTAGTCCATTTTTTTGGTAACCATAGTTTTCTGTTCCGTTTAAGAAGTTATTGTTGCAATAAGAAGGATCTTGTTTTAATATATACTTTGTACAGTAGTAATTAATATTTTGTAAAATTTATGAAACAATATTTTCAAAAATTGTTATTATATTAAATTCCTAGACAGAAAATGCAATAAGCTTTCTCAAACTGATATATTAGCATCCAGCGATGGAATAGGTTTAATTTTAAAATGCTTAAAACATTATTTTTGAAGTAAAACTTCTTTAGGCGCGATATGGGTGTAAAAATTTTTAGGCGCGACACGGGTGTAAATCCGTACAAATGCAACGAAAATGTTAACGTGTAGTTGAACACTACGACGCCGTAAGCGCTGATGTCGCGAGTATCCACTCCCGTCATGTCATGCGTAAGTCGAGCGCTAAACCCTATATGAACTTGCATTAATTGAATCACGTTTTTTTTACAAAAGAAGAGGTTGCTGTATTATGTCCTCATGGAATAAGACTTTTCTTAGAGAATAAATGTGCCATGGAATATAATAAATTTATATTGAATCTCGTTGAAGACAAAATAATATCTACTGCCACGGATATTTATGTAGGTTGCCATGCGACAGATCAACAATCATACATTCGTCAGCAGTTTCAAAAAAATCGGTTATTGATACCGGGGCTTTGCCGTATGAAATAATTTTAGTTCTGAATAAATTTTACATAATAACAGCTAATATTGATGTAAGTGATGGTTTAGCTAATGGTTGTGTGGGAAAATTAGTGTACATAGAACGTGGCGATAATGATGAACTTCTACGTTTATGGTTTGAATTTCCCGGTAAGATAGGTAACAAAATTAGGAAGAAAGCTTCACATCATATTCAAACTCTTAATATCAGTAGGACAGCTGTGCCGATGCTCAGGAGATCTTATTATTATTGATGTTATATGATTATTAAAAGATGATTTTTAAAATTCAAATATGATGTTTTTTTTATTTTTATCTTAATTGCCTACTCATACAATATTAAAAGTTTTACTTCAATCGCGTGTGATCCTTACGCGCACTCTTTTTATCTATTACCAAGTTATTGATTAATTACAAAGCAGTTAGTCGTAAATAGTCGTTTAAAAAATCATACAATATGTATTTTAAACGAGTAAACCTCAATTATTTTTATATCGATGGTATAATAGTATTACCCATAATCGACATTAATTATAAAATATATAAATATATAATTCATATTCGCATATAGAAGTAGATAGTTATTACATAAGCTAATAGCAATAGATGAAATAATTTATTTCTATACTCTGTAATTAAAGTACTCATCATGTAATGAGTAACGTCCTAGAATTAGTATATTAATATATCTATTTTAGTACTCTAAAAGGCCAATGAAAACAAAATTAAAATTTTTGTGTGTATGTTATTACCATAAAACAATTATTAAATGTAGATTACAATAATGTTTTATGTGTCTACTATGAAAAAATAGTGATCTTTATTCTAATTCTACAATATTTTCTTGAACAGACAATCTGTTGCCTATAAAAATCACTTTGCTGAAAAATTAGGCATTGTTGAACAAAAGTACTCATGTCGTTTTCATACAAGGAAAAATTTACTTATATATTTGAAATAAAGAATAAAAAATAAAATTAAATGAATGTTGTGTGTTAACCGTTCTTTAAAATTACTCATTTGTGTTGAAATAATTCAAACAAAATAGTTTATTGGACTGGCTAAAATATGATTCAAAATATAGTAAAATTTATTTTACTTGTTTGCAATAACGCGTTTTTCACAATTGTGCTTATGTTGGTTATTAAATGTCGAAATTTATTACAATAGTACAAGTTTACATAAAGGTTTCTTCAAATTTAGTGTTGATAAATAAGTGTTATTGTAGTATATATCTAAATTAATGACATTAGATTTAACTTTTTTTATTCATACGATTATTCAAACATTTTATTCAATTTTGTTGTATTTATTGAAATCATGGTTCTATATTGTTTTATTGATTGTGTATTTAACACGTTCACGTCGGCGTATAATTTAAAAATATTTTTTTAAAAGAGAACTTGGCAGAACGTGTTAAAGAATTTAAATGTTCATAGTTTCATCTTATTATTAACATTCCTGGACCATTTTTATTTTAATATTTAGCGATGTCTAAAATTATATATTTATATAATAGACATTAAATAGTGGTTCACAAGGGCATAATATGAAGGAAATAAATGTCTAAAAAACAAATTATACGTGTGATTCATAATATTATTGTGCGTAAAATAATGAATCTTTATCTTTATATGGTACTCCTTCATGTTTTGTATAAAAGTATTTAAAGTTAGAATCTTTTCATCTTTGTAAATGTGACTTCGATGTTTGTCATTTGTAAAATAAATTTACTTATTTTTAAGTTGAAGTTTAAACGAAATCAACACGAGAAAAATCTGACTGTGGACCAAAA